CGCGCATGACGGATGCTGAGGCGGCAGAAACGACGACGGCGGGGACGGGGAGGCGGAGGCAGAGGCGCAGCAGCGGGAGGCGGGAGGCGGGAGGAGGGAGGAGGGAAGAGGAACCAGGCGGGAAGTGGGAAGAGGGAGGCGGGAGAAGGAATGAGAGAGGTTGTGATTGGAGCTCCTGTGCTACGAAACGTCTCAGGCAGAATGGGCCAGACCATCTCGCGCGCAACATCTTCGAGCCTCGCATTGCGAGGATGGCTCAATCGAAACGGGCCGGACCACCTCGCGAGCGACATCTTGGAGCTCAGTATTGGAAGGATGTCTCAAACGAAACGGGCCGGCCAATCTTTCTCACACGTTTTGACAAGTCCACATCGCACTCGCTTCCCGTAACTCCCTTCCTTCTCCCTCCTCCTCCTCCTCCTCCTCCTCCTCCTCCTCCTCCTCCTCCTCCTCCTCGACCTCCTCTTCATCCCGAACGGCATCTCGGAGCCTAGAGTTGCGAGGATGTCTCGTAACGGGCTGGACCACCTCGCGCGCGGCATCACGGACCCCAGAAATGCGACGATTTCTCGGGCAAACGTGCTGCGAGGAAGTCTAAGGCGAAACGGGCCGGACCACCTCGAACGCGGCGTCTCAGAGCTCCGAGTTGCGGGGGCCTCCTGGTGCCTCCTGGGGCCTCCTGGGGCCTCCTGGGGACCTCCTGGGGCTTCCTCCTGGGCCTCCTGTGGCCTCCTGAACTCCACCTGGGGTTTCCGGAAGCCTCTTGGGGCTCCCAGGGTGGATATCAAACCTGTGGCCGTTTGGGCCTCTCCAAATGGAGGGGGGGGGCACAAGAGCAGGAAGAATCAACGAATCGACACCAGATGTGTATTAACTTGACACGTTCTGATAGGCGGCCTCCTGGGGCCTCCTGGGAGCCTCCTAGGAATCTCCTGGGGACCCCTGGGGCCTGTCCTGGGCGTCCTGCGGCCTCCTGGAGCTCTCTGGGGCCTCCCCCTCCTCCTGCCTGCTCCCTCATGCACATCATCCGCCTCCTCCTTCTCCCTTCCATCTCCTCCTCCTCCTCCTCCTCCTCCTCCTCCTCTCCTCCTCCTCCCTCCTCCACCTCCTCTTCATCCCGAACGGCATCTCGAGCCTAGAGTTGCGAGGATGTCTCCAGCGTAACGGGCTGGACCACCTCGCGCGCGGCATCTCGGACCCCAGAGTTGCGACGATGTCTCTGGCGAAACGTGGTGCGAGGAAGTCTCAGGCGAAACGGGCCGGACCACCTCGAGCGCGGCGTCTCAGAGCTCCGAGTTGCGGGGGCCTCCTGGTGCCTCCTGGGGCCTCCTGGGGACCTCCTGGAGCTTCCTCCTGGGCCTCCTGTGGCCTCGTGAACTCCACCTGGGGTTTCCGGAAGCCTCTTGGGGCTCCCAGGGGGGATATCTAACCCGTGGCCGCTTGGGCCTCTCCAAATGGAGGGGGGGGGGGGCGGCACAAGAGCAGGAAAAATCAACGAATCGACACCGGATGTGTATTAACTTGACACGTTCTGATAGGCGGCCTCCTGGGGCCTCCTGGGAGCCTCCTGGGAATCTCCTGGAGACCCCTGGGGCCTGTCCTGGGCGTCCTGCGGCCTCCTGGTGCCTCCTGGGGCCTCCTGGGGACCTCCTGGAGCTTCCTCCTGGGCCTCCTGTGGCCTCCTGAACTCCACCTGAGGTTTCCTGAAGCCTCTTGGGGCTCCCAGGGGGGATATCTAACCTGTGGCCGCTTGGGCCCCTCAAAATGGAGGGGGGGGCACAAGAGCAGGAAAAATCAACGAATCGACACCGGATGTGTATTAACTTGACACGTTCTGATAGAGGGCCTCCTGGGCCTCCTGGGAGCCTCCTGGGAATCTCCTGGGGGCCCCTGGGGCCTGTCCTGGGCGTCCTGCGGCCTCCTGGACCTCTCTGGGGCCTCCTGAGGCTCGCAGGGTCCCATGGAGGATATGTAACATGTGGTCTTCTGGGCGCCCAGGCTGGACCACCTCTCGCGCAGCATCTGAGAGCTCAGAATTGCGAGAATGTCTTGTGCGAAACAGATCGGACCACCTTGCGCACGGCATCTCAGAGCTCAGAGTTGCAAGGATGTCTCAGGCGAGACGGGCCGGACCACCTCGCGCAGGGCATCTCAGAGCTCAGAAGTTCGAGGATGTCTCAGGCGAAACGGGCCGGACCACCTCTCGCGCGGCATCTCGGGGCTCAGACTTGCGAGGATGTCTCAAGCGAAACGGCCCGGACCACCTCGCGAGCGACATCTTGGAACTCAGTATTGGAAGGATGTCTCGAACGAAACTGGCCGGACAATCTTTCTCACACGTTTTGACAAGTCCACATCGCACTCGCTTCCCGTTAGGTCCTCTCCTGCAACTCCTTTCCTTCTCCCTCCTCCTCCTCCTCCTCTTCCTCCTCCTCCTCCTCCCCCTCCTCCTGCCTGCTCCCTCATGCACATCATCCGCCTCCTCCTTCTCCCTTCCATCTCCTTCTCCTTCTCCTCCTCCTTCTCCTCCTCCTCCTCCTCGACCTCCTCTTCATCCCGAACGGCATCTCGGAGCCTAGAGTTGCGAGGATGTCTCCAGCGTAACGGGCTGGACCACCTCGCGCGCGGCATCTCGGACCCCAGAATTGCGACGATTTCTCGGGCAAACGTGGTGCGAGGAAGTCTCAGGCGAAACGGGCCGGACCACCTCGAGCGCGGCGTCTCAGAGCTCCGAGTTGCGGGGGCCTCCTGGTGCCTCCTGGGGCCTCCTGGGGCCTCCTGGGGACCTCCTGGGGCTTCCTCCTGGGCCTCCTGTGGCCTCCTGAACTCCACCTGGGGCTTCCTGAAGCCTCTTGGGGCTCCCAGGGGGGATGTCAACCTGTGGCCGCTTGGGCCCCTCAAAATGGAGGGGGGGGCACAAGAGCAGGAAAAATCAACGAATCGACACCGGGATGTGTATTAACTTCACACGTTCTGATAGGGGGCCTCCTGGGAGCCTCCTAGGAATCTCCTGGGGACCCCTGGGGCCTGTCCTGGGCGTCCTGCGGCCTCCTGGAGCTCTCTGGAGCCTCCCCCTCCTCCTGCCTGCTCCCTCATGCACATCATCCGCCTCCTCCTTCTCCCTTCCATCCTCCTCCTCCTCCTCCTCCTCCTCCTCCTCCTCCTCCTCCACCTCCTCTTCATCCCGAACGGCATCTCGGAGCCTAGAGTTGCGAGGATGTCTCCAGCGTAACGGGCTGGACCACCTCGCGCGCGGCATCTCGGACCCCAGAGTTGCGACGATGTCTCTGGCGAAACGTGGTGCGAGGAAGTCTCAGGCGAAACGGGCCGGACCACCTCGAGCGCGGCGTCTCAGAGCTCCGAGTTGCGGGGGCCTCCTGGTGCCTCCTGGGGCCTCCTGGGGACCTCCTGGGGCTTCCTCCTGGGCCTCCTGTGGCCTCCTGAACTCCACCTGGGGCTTCCTGAAGCCTCTTGGGGCTCCCAGGGGGGATATCTAACCTGTGGCCGCTTGGGCCCCTCAAAATGGAGGGGGGGGCACAAGAGCAGGAAAAATCAACGAATCGACACCAGATGTGTATTAACTTGACACGTTCTGATAGAGGGCTCCTGGGGCCTCCTGGGAGCCTCCTGGGAATCTCCTGGGGGCCCCTGGGGCCTGTCCTGGGCGTCCTGCGGCCTCCTGGACCTCTCTGGGGCCTCCTGAGGCTCGCAGGGTCCCATGGAGGATATGTCACATGTGGTCTTCTGGGCGCCCAGGCTGGACCACCTCTCGCGCAGCATCTGAGAGCTCAGAGTTGCGAGAATGTCTTGTGCGAAACAGGCCGGACCACCTTGCGCATGGCATCTCAGAGCTCAGAGTTGCAAGGATGTCTCAGGCGAGACGGGCCCCTCGCGCAGGGCATCTCAGAGCTCAGAAGTTCGAGGATGTCTCAGGCGAAACGGGCCGGACCACCTCTCGCGCGGCATCTCCGAAGTCAGAGTTTCGAGGATGTCTCAGACGAAATGGGCCGGACCACCTCGCGCAAGGCATCGCAGAGCTCAGAGTTTCGAGGATGTCTCAGGCGAAACGGCCTGGACCACCTCTCGCACGGCACCTCGGGGCTCAGACTTGCGAGGATGTCTCAAGCGAAACGGCCCGGACCACATCTCGCGCGGCGTCCCGGAGTGCAACTTTTTGAGGATGTCTCAAGCGAAACGGCCCGGACCACCTCTCGCGCGGCGTCCCGGAGCGCAACTTTTCGAGGATGTCTCAGGCGAAACGGCCAATCCCGGCCAACTCAGAAACGAGAGTTGTGAAGATGTCTCAAGCGAAACGGCCAAAACCATAGAATTTGTGTGAGGATGTCTCTGCTCCGAGTTCCCTCGGCCGGAATTAGTTTCTACCACAACAGCACCCCGTTCAGCAAGCTGTTTGGGGAAAAATGCACCAAAAAGCTCAACGAATACTTAAAAAATAGTCCCCCGACCATTTTTGGACAATTTTTTAATTTTTGTTGTGGATTTTTTATTTTTCGTCGAAAATCCTCCTGTAGGGGGACAGGCCCGGCTTAATCATAGAGCCCTACGTGCCTTCTTGGATTGCTTTGGACCGTCGTGGTCAAATACCAGGCCTGTCGTGGACGTGGAACTATCTCGGGCCAGTCTTGACCCCATCTGGGCCCGTCTCAAGCCTAAGAGCGCCAAGCATATGCAACAACAGCCAGGTGTTCAATACGTTTGGCCGCTCGGGTGCTTGTCGAGAGCGTGTCCGAGGGTTCCTAAGCGCCTGTTGCGAGTGTGCTGTTAGGGGCATGTCGGGCTCCCTGTCGGGGTCCTGGGCCCTTCTAGGCGGGATGCCGGGGCCGTCCCGGGGCGGTCCGAGGGCTTTCTCTGACTTCGGTTCGGAGTGGATCGCCTCAACTCAATCTTGGGCTGGTCTCGGGCCGCCTTGGGGCGACTCCCGCCTGGAGCCCGGGCCAGTCGTATGCGAAACTGGCTCGCACGCGCTGCCGGGAGCAATCGATGACATCGGGCTCCAACTTCTCTTTCCATATCTGGCTGAACAACCAGAGGGCCCGCTGCCACTGCCCGCCTTTGTCGCACGCACCGATCCCAGCGCTGTAGCTGATGACGTCGGGCTGCAGATTACCCTTCCACACCTCGCTGAGCAATGACAGAGCCTGCTGCCACTGCCCGCCTCTCTCACAAGCGCTGATCCCAGCGTTGTAGCTAACCTAGGGCTGTCTGGTGGACTACGCGTACGAGCGACGCCAGCGTAAGCACGTAAGCGATCGATCACGAGAGCATGAGGTGCATGTAAAACGCGGAGCATTGACGGCGACGCCGCTGACCAGCGCCGGCGCGGCAGCGAAACCTCTGGGGAGGTTCAGCCAACAAAGCTGCCCAGGGTGAGCAATTGATCCCTGGCCTTTTCTCGAACACGCCGTCCCCATACATGTAAATAATAGGATGTTGGGCTCCAACTTCGTTTCGGCCATCTCGCTGAGAAGTAATAACGCCCATGCCCACTGCCTGCCCTTACCGCATGTGCTGACAGCCGCAGTGTACTGAGATGGGCCGACTTTCGCACGCAGTTGTGACGCGTCGCTGAGCAATCGCAGCGCTGCGCTCCACTGCTTCGTCCCCCCACTATTGATGGCCGCTGATAGGGAAGAGGCACCTTGTCCAAATCCTCTGTGGCTGTCTGGCATCTAAGGGCTCCACCAACTTGCATTGGTACGCCCGGTGAAATCATCTCAGCTGTGCGCATGAGTGGGCCGACTGAGATGGCTTGAACCACTATGCATTGGTGAGCCTGGCTAGATCCAACAATGGCCTGACGCCCCTGCACACTGTCTCGAAACCGTTGCTCGTTGCCGCACTCTGCAAACATCGCTGGATTAGGGGCGCTCACGAACGCGGGCGTCGGCGACGGCGCGAAAGTCGAAGGGGCTTCCCATCCTCCTCAAACTGCCCCACCCTCCCGCATCCTCCGCCTTCATGGCCCTGCAAATCCTTGTCCTTCTCCTCCTCCTCCTCCTCCTCCTCCTCCTTCTCCTCCACCTCCGCCTCCTTCTTCTCCACGCCCTTCCATTCGCTCGCTCACTCGCTCGCTTGCTGACGGCGCTTGAGGTTCCGAAGCCGCAGCACCATTCCCGATGGGGGATGTGGTTCGCGCGGAGACGACAGCGCCGTTCTCAACCAATGACGGGGCCAGCGCTGAGGCCGGAGCACCGATCTCAATTACAGACGTGGCCGAAGCTAAAACGAGAGCACCGCTCCCGAAAACGGGTTGTGCCCATCGCTGACGCGAAAACGCCTTGCCCACTTGAGGGCGTGGCCAGCGCTGCCGCGGAAACAACACTCGCCCACGTTGCCGCGAGAACTCCATTCCAAAGCAACCGCGAACAAATACAGAATTTGTCGAGGCGGAAATTCCATACTTTTTGAAGATATGCATGTTTGTCGAGGCGCCAGCAACAAAACATCGGGGACGATTCAACAGGACTGACTGTAAGTGCCGACTCCATGATTCCTCAGCGCTTGTGGCCTGCTCAGGACGCCCCTGGCAGTCTCGCGCACAAGCGCGTAGGCTGTAGTGAAGGCGACGAACCCATGAAAGGAGAAGAGGCCTCACCCTGTCTTGGTGCTCCTGCTCGTGCCGCCTCCCGCCCGCAGCACGGGAGGGGCAAGGCAGAGGACGGCGTCCACTGCCTCGGGGCTCGAGCTGAACAACGCTTTTCCTTTTGCGTCTCGATTTCGCTTTCCCCCGCTCTGCCCTCGCTCCGCCGCTGCTGCAACACGGGGTCGGGGCGAGAACGGCCTGCGAGATCGCCCACACGCTGCTCGGCCCGAGACCCGCCCTGCCCTCCCGCCCTCCGCCGAAGGGCGGCAGCTCCGGGCGGACGGTGACGCCCGACGCGAAGCACGACGAGGAGCTCGCCGCAGCACGGCCGAGTGCGCCCCACACGTGTCGTCTGGCCTGGCGGAGCCCAGCCCGACGTGGAGCAGAACCGGCCGGCGGCCCGCCCAGGGGGGAAGCGAGAGGGGGCGGGCCCTCTCAAGAGGCTCGGAGGCCCCGCAGCCTCCCGACAAGTTCTCTGAGCCTTCCCCGGACACCGACAGCCTCTCAAAGGCCGGGGGGCTGCTGAGAAGCCCCGCCGCCTTGTGAGAAAGCCTGCTCCTTCTCACTTCCCCCCTTTCGCTCGCCGCCGATTGGAGCAGAACTGGGGCAACCAAGAACATCAGCTACCCGAGCCGGAGCCTCCAAGACGGCGCCGATCGGGCCCCAGCACGAGTCAGCCTCTGGCAGTCCTCAGGCAAACTTCCAGATGCGCCCCCGAAGAACGAAGCAAAAACATGGAGGGATCCTGGGACTGTGTGAAATAAATAGTGTCAGTGCTGATCTGTAAGCAGTGTAGCATAGCATTCCAGCAAGCATATGCTCTTTCGTAACTATTTGGGCTCAATCCTTTAAGGGCCCTTGCGCTTGGGCGTATCGGTAGACACCTCGCAGGTGCCGCTAAGCAACATCAATCGCCTATCATTGCTGATATCTTCGCAGATACTTTTACATCATTGCTGACAATAACAACCTCGCGGTTATCATCGCATTCAGACCCCTCACGCAGTATCGGGTCTGCATTGGTCGCAGGAGCTAACTCGACCACGGCAACTACGTGCGCGACTTTGCAGAGTCATTTAGCAAGCACTACAGGCTCGTGTCATTGCGACTGTACCTCTCATTCGGGGTCGCCATCATGGCGACAGGAGGAGCCGCTGCAGCCAGCGGCGAGGACAAGAGCAACGGGGGCAAGATCCCCGCACCCGTCTTCGATGGCACGAGCAAGACCATGAAAAAGTACCGCCGAGAGGTCGCCACCTGGCAGATCGGCACCGAGATCAAGCCGCCCAAGCAGGGAGCGACCTTGCTGGCCAGCCTCAAGGGCAAGGCCGAGGAGGCGTGCGAGGAGCTCGACCTGGACGCCATCAAGGGTGACAACTCGGTGGAGGTGTTCCTGGAGTACCTCGGGAAGCGCTTTCCCGAGATCGAAGTGCTGGAGACCCCAGCGCTGCTGGAGACCTTCGTGCGCCCGGCCTGCGTCCGGCACAAGTACGAGGAGATCCGCGCCTACAACAACCGCTTCAATATGGGATCGCCACCAAGCTGAAGGCCAAGGGCATCCAAGTGCCCGACGAGGTCTTGGCGGACCTGTAGATCAAGGGGGCCCGCCTGCCCCGGGAGCGCGCGGCGAGCGTGCTCAACGGTGTGGGCAACCAGTTCAACCCCACCAAGATCCAGGAGCAGTTGATGATCAACTTGCCCAAGGTATCGGTCGTGGACGGCAACAAGGACAGCCACGACAAAGGGGGCCACGGAGGTCACAAGAACAAGGACCACAAGCGGGCGTACGCCACGGAGACCTACGAGGAGGATCGTAGGGCCGAGCTCGACGGCGCGCCCTCAGACAGCTCCGACGACTACGAGGACGAGCTGCCCGACGAGCTGCAGGACGTGATCGACGAGGCGGAGGAGCAGGTAGCGTTCATCACCAAGAAGATGGTGCGCGCCAGGGACAAGCTGAAGGAGGCGAAGCAGGCGCGTGGCTACTTCGCCAAGCGCGACGGCGGCAACCCGCCGAAGAGAGACGATCCCAAGATCGCCAAGATGAAGGCCAGGACACACTGCGGCGCATGCGGCCGAAAGGGCCATTGGCGCGGTGACCCGCAGTGCTCGAAGAAGAACGACCCTAACGCCAAGGCCGACATCCCGAAGAAGGGAAGCAACAGGACGAACATCGCAACGCACGAGACCAGCGACGCGCAGGAGCCTCACGTGGCGGAGATGACGGTCGCGGCGGTCTACCAGCAGGACCAGAGGGCCGCGGCTCGCGACAGGAAGTACGGTGCGCTGCACAGCATCGACTGGGCGCAGATCCGCCACGCCGCCGAGCTACCCGAAGAAGTTACGGCGGCGGCGTTCTTCATCAAGAAGGACCACCAGTGCCTGATGGCCGCGACGAGCTCGGCGCTGATCTACCTCAACGTCGAGGACCTGCTGAAGGAGTCGGGGGGCAAGCTGACCTTCGACACGGCCTGCGCTCGGTGCGTCGGCGGCCTCGACTGGTACAGCGACATCAAGAAGAGGCTGGCCGCCTTCAACATCGATCCAGCCCATCGAGTACCCCGAGAAGGAGCCTTTTCCAGTTCGGGGCGTCGAAGGTGGTGTTCAGCCTCAAGGCGGCGCTGATCCCCTGTTCGGTGAACGGCAAGGCCTTCACCGTCCGCGTGAGCATCGTGCGCAGCGCCGTGCCAGGACTGTTCAGCCGCAAGGCCCAGAGCGAGCTGGACACAGTCTACCACGCCGGAGACAACAAGCTGGACATCAAGTCGATCGACGAGCACAACATCCAGATGGGCCTGAGCCGCGCCGGACACCCGACGCTGGACATCACAGGCTTAGCCCGTTTTGGACGTCTCGGATACCAAGGCCGAGATTCGTCTTCATCCTTGCGCTTCTTACCATGCTGAGACAGCTGTGGCCAGCGCCGCCAAGCCGGTGGTGCCCGAGGCTCGCCACCCAGGAGTTGCCTCGGAGGCCGAGTCTCCGTCGGATACTGACTGCAATGCGCTCGATAGCGCCGAACTGTTCGAGCAGCAGGTGCGCCAGGCCATGAGCGCATACATTCCATCACGTCAATCGTCATCGGGATCGGAAGACGAGGCCTGGGGAGTGTGTACTAGGTCGGTCAGCACAGCACAGATTATGCAGACAAACCACGGTCATGACGAACGCGGAGCTAAACCTCGCAGCGATACTCAGTCACGGCATGTTCGCTTTCAGCAGCAAGCAAGCCGTAGCGAGCCACGAGATCAGCCATTAGCACGCAGTCATCAAACTACATCATCACCGCAGCCATCCGGCTCGAGTTCAACTGTGGCTCCACCAGCGAGCACGACGCGTGCCGTGGCAGATCCAGCCACCGCAGCTTTTCACGAACCAGCGGCCGGCGCTTATGCACCCGTCGCACCAGCGATGTACGACATCTCCCAAGGAGACGAGCCGGGGGCAGCGGCCAGAACTTGCCGACGACGAATACTTCCCGTCTTCCGGCGATATCCAGCATGCGGATGCCGGAGCTGCAGGCCGAGGTGGCAAGCTACGACTTGGATGTGCGCGACGCCACGTGCGACCAGCTCCGGGTGATCTTGCGTGCGCTGAGGGCCGAGGGCCGCGAGAGCACGCCGCAGGGCGACTACATCCCGGGGCTCGGCAAGAAGAACAAGGAGGAGCTCCAGCAGCTGTGTCGGGACCGCCAGATCGAGTTCGACCAGCGCACGCCCGTGCCGGAGCTCAGGCAGCGCCTCAAGGGCTGGAAGGTCGAGGACGCGGTCAGCAGTGCCGCGGCGACGGTGGCTCATCCGAGCTCACAGATCACCAGGGCCGACAAGATGCGCTTTGGCAAGTACCCCACGGCGGACTACCGCTGGGTGCTCAAGAACGACCTGGGCTACGCGCAGTGGGCGGTCCTGGAGCTCAACAACAATCGGGCAAGCCCACTCCTGGCGCGGTTTGCCAGGTGGGTAAAGGCGCACGGAGTGCAGCCCCTTCCCCCGGAGAAGGCCAAGACCACCTTGGAGGCAGTGATGGCCGAGGAGGTGGTGCTGGACGACGAATGGGTGGCGCCAGCGGCGACGACTACGAGGGCCTCAGGAAGCCAGGGGAGCTGGGCCGGGCATCGGCGACAGCGACCTCCGGAGCCGCACGAGATGGACACCAGCGACATGGGCTTCGAGAAAGCGGGCGAGACCGACAAGGAGGATCGCCCGAGCGGCTCCCGGGAACCTCAGCAGAGCAGGGACTAGGTGGCGGTGGCCGCCAGGACGGGTCGCCAGCCCCGAGGCGGCGGTCAGGCATCAAGAAGGGCAAGCGCGTCGGCCTCCTCTACCAGGTCACGGGCTTGCTGAGCGCCTTCGCCTTTCAGACGGTGCTCACCGCGGACTGGCTGGCTAGACCTCTCAAGCCCGTGGTGCAGCATGCTACCAGTGCTGCGCGAGACGTGGTCGACCACGTCCAGGACGTCAAGGAGGCCTACAGCGTTCGCAGCCACCGCGTGGACGTCATGCAGGTGTTCGGAGGCGAAGGCGGCATCACCGAGGCGGCGTGGAAGCGCCGGATGACGGCCACAGAGGTGATCGACCGCAAATAAGGATGGGACTTACGCAAGCAGAAGGACCTCGACGCGACGTACGACCTGCACTACGCCTCAAGGCCGAAGTTCGTGTCAATCGAGCTACCCTGCACCCACTACACGAACATCACGCACCTCAACTTTCGGACGCCGCAGGTCAGGCAGGCGCTCCGACGGATCTGGAGGACGGAGCGGCCGTTCCTTTTATTGGCCCGCGACCTCTTCAAGTACCAGCTCGACTCTGGCGACATGGCCATGATCGAGAACCCGGCCACCTGCCGGCTCTGGACACAGCGCGCGATTTTGGAGTTACTGGCAGACGAGCGCGTGTACCAGGTGAGGTGCGACATGTGCGAGTACGGAGCTCGACGCTACAAGACGGGGGGGCTCATCAAGCACCCCACGAAGCTGCTCGTTACCCACAAGGAGTTCGAGCAGCTGAAGCGCACCTGCAGCCACAAGCACCACGACCAGACCTTTGGGGACAACGTGGCGGTGCGCAAGTCTGGCGTTTATCCCGCTAAGTTCTGCAGAGCGGTGGTGCGCATTGTGGAGCAGGTGATTCGCCAGCAAGGAGGGCATCGCGCCTACCAGGTGGACTGCCAGTCGCACTCGTCGCCCTTCATCGTGACAGTGCCCAGGGAGCAGGCCACCGCCTACGTAAACGACACCGCGCCCCTGGGAGAGACGGGCGAGCCTGATGGGGACCCAGACCCCATGGGCGGCGGAGACGACTTCGCCGACACTCACGACGTGCGGGCTGAAGATACTGTGGACGGCAGGATCGGGGTCGGCGCGATGACTTTCACAAAGACAGCAGCGGCCTGCTGCAAGCCAGCCGAGCTGGCCATGCTCAAGAGACTCCATGTCAACTTGGGCCATCCGTCTAATGAAGATTTGGGCCGCAGCTTGCGACTCAAAGACGCTAAGTCGGCCACCGTCCAGGCCGTCAAGGGGCTGATCTGCGGGGTGTGCCGCTCGCAGCAGCGCCCGAGCGCGAGGAGACCAGCGCACCTCCACTTCGTGCAAGATTTTGGAGACGACGTCGGCTTCGACTGCTTCGAGCTCAAGGACGTCGACGGCAAGAGCTACTGGTACTCCAGCATCGTCGACCTGGCCACCACCTTCCATGTCGCGACGCTGATCGATCGCCACACCAGCCAGGAGTTCGCTGCCGCGTTCGAGAGGTGCTGGGCCTCCTGGGCGGGCGTGCCCGACCGAGTTCACTTCGACATGGAGAAGGGGTTCGGCGGCGCCCTCAGCGAGCTGTTCCAGTCATTCAACACGGTGCAGCTGCCCATCGCTGGTCAGGCACATTGGCAGCTCGGTCGCGTGGAACGCCACGGAGCTTGGTGGAAGGAGCTCGCGGCGAGGACGATCGAGCACTCGTCGATCAGGGGCGAGGACGAGATGCGGACGCTGGCCATCATGGTATCGGGCGCGAAGAACTCGCTGAGAAGGCGAGCAGGCTTCAGCCCCGCGCAGTGGGCGCTGGGACGCGACCCCAAGATGCCTGGAGACCTGGTCGACGACACGGCCAACTACAGCGCCCACAGCCTCGCGGCCAACGACGAGAAGATTCGCCGCCGATATGCCATTCGGACGGCGGCGCGCGAGTCGTTCATGAGGATGCAGAACGACGACCAGCTCCGGCGAGCTATGCTGGCTCGCGCGCGCACGGTGGCGACGCCCTTGTCAGTGGGCGAGATGTGCTACGTCTTTCGCCAGGTCAAGAAGAAGGAGCAGCGGGAGCAGCACAACCGCAACGCCAAGAAGGGCATCTGGCGAGGGCCGTGCGTAGTCATCGGCCACCAAGGCGAGAACACCTGGGTCTCGCTAGGAGGGCACGCCATGCTGGTGGCCCCGGAGCACATCAAGGCACTCGCTCCGGACGACGTCTGGTTCCCGAACGGCAGGGGCGAGATCGGTCAGGCCGTGGCCGAGCTCAACCGGGCTCGCGACTCGCTCGAACAAGAAGAGGCTCAGGTGGAGGACATCCGCCCGGCGCCTGGCGAGCCCGAGGTCAAGCCAGACGAGATGGAGCAGGCGTGGCGGGAATTCATCGACAACCCGGACGACAGCGACCTCAGGCTGAACGTCTCCGAGGATCCGCCCCAGCAGGAGCAGATCCAGGTGCTGCCCGCCGACGTGCCGCAACAAGCTGAAGAAGAGCGAACCTACGGCCCTGACGAGTTCCGACGACGTCGAGCTACCTTCGACGGAGGGGACAGCGGCGACTTCGGCCCGGCCTTCAAGCGACTCCAGACCGAGAGGGAGCACGCAGGCTCTGGCGCCCTGCCCGCAAGGGCAACTTCGCGGGACCGCGCGGCGGCCCCCGATCAGGAGGCAGCGGCCGGACCCGAAGCAGGAGGAGCCCGCCAACGTTCGAGGTCGGCTCCAAGACAAGCATTGCAAACCTCCATCGTGACCGAGAGGATCAAGCGCAAGCAGGCCGACAAGGAGATCCACTGGAGGGCCATCAAGGACTCTGATCGGGAGCTCTTCAGGGAGGCGGCCGCCAAGCAGTGGAGCGAGTGGCAGAAGTATGGCTCTTGTCAGGTACTCTCCATCGAGGAGTCCGAGGCGATCAAGGGCATGATCAAGCCCAGCCTCATCCTGCCCAGCCGGTTCGTGTACCGGGACAAGAACGCCCCGCTGCGGACCGACAAGCATCCGCTGCCGGTGAAGGCAAAGGCCCGACTCTGCGTCGGGGGTCACATGGACCCGCGCCTCGCTCAGGGCGACCTGCGGACGGACGCGCCCACGGTCACCCGCAACTCGACCATGCTGTTCTTCACCATCTGCCAGAGGTTCGACCTGGAGATCTACGCAGCGGACGTGGAGGCGGCTTTCATGCAAGGCGACGAGCAGCCCGACCAGCAGCTGTACATGGCCCAGCCTCGCGAAGGTTTGCCTGGGCTGAACCCGAAGCAGCTGATCAAAATCCTCAAGGGAGTTTTCGGGCTGGCCACGGCACCGAGACAATGGTGGGCGAAGCTCAAGAGGACATTGCTGGCGGTGGAGGAGAAGCTGGGCGACAACTACGTGTTTCGCCTACGCCAGCACTCGCTAGACCCAGCGCTGTACTACGGTCACGACCAGCACGGTGAGCTCTGTGCGGTGGTGGTCGCCCACGTGGACGACTTGCTGCTGGGGATCTCGCACAAGTACCCGGGCCTCTACGACAGGCTTCACAAGCTTTTGCCCTGGGGCGACTGGCGAGGCTTGCATTTTACCTTTTGCGGCAAGCAGGCCTGGCGAGATCAAGAGGAAGTACTACATCTACGACAGACCGACTACGCGAACACCATCGAGGAGATTCCGTTCAGCAAGGAGCGCAAGACGGACCTGTCGTCAGATGCTACGCCAGCCGAGTTCTCGGACAACCGCTCCGCACTCGGAGCGCTCGGGTGGCTTTCATCGCAGACTCGTCCCGACCTGGCAGCTGGAGTGGCCATGGGGCAGCGGACCCAGAACAAGCCCACCATCCAGGACTTGCTCGAGACGAACAGGCTCATCAAGTTGGCGCGGAAGCACGCGGACGTGGGTTTGGAGTTCCCTAAGTTACGTGGACCTCTGTGCCTGGTGACGTACCACGACGCCAGTTGGGCCAACGCTGACGAGCCAGCTGAAGGCGCCATCTCCAAGTTGCTCGCCAAGACCGTGGGGGCAACCAGTAAGGACAAGAAGATCAAGATTCGCTCGCAGGTTGGCTACGTGAGTTTTCTCGCAGAAGCCAAGCTACTACGCGGAGATCGAGCTCGAGCAGGAATTGTTGATAGGAGATCGGGCACCATCAAGAGAGTTTGCAGATCTACGTTGGCAGCCGAAACGATGTCGGCAGTAGACGCTCTAGGCTGTGCTCAGATTGCACGCTGTGTTTTCGCTTCGCTAGAGATTCCGGATGCCCATCCAGAGGACATCCCGCCGAGTCTGTTGCCGCTCGCTCAGGTCACAGATTGCGCCAGCTTGTACGATACGATGCATAAAGACGGTCATTCCAAGCTCCCGTCAGAGCGGCGCCTTTTGCTCGATCTAGTGGGCCTCAAGGAGTCACTAGAAGAGGAAGTTAGCAACGAGTTTGTCGCTGACGATCAGCGCAGCCAACTACCCCTCTTTTGGGTTCCGACTGACCAGCAGCTCGGTGATCAGTTCACCAAGCGATCGGACGGCAGTGCCATCAGAGCAGTGCTGCGAGACACACGTCTCGCTTTGCAGCATCAAGAGCCGACGGACCAGGCCAGAGAGCACGAGGCACACCTGACCAGTGCCGGCTCACTTTTCAAGCGCGCAGTGCGCCTGGTTTCATTTTAGCTCGTTGACGTGCCATCACCACGTCTAAATGCGCTATATCGGCAGATGCACAGATCAGAAGAATTTTGCACGAGTGTGAAAAAATAGTGTCAGTGCTGATCTGTAAGCAGTGTAGCATAGCATGCCAGCAAGCACATGCTCTTTCGCAACTATTTGGGCTCAATCCTTTAAGGGCCCTTGAGCTTGGGCGTATCGGTAGACACCTCGCAGGTGCCGCTAAGCAACAGCAATCGCCTATCATTGCTGATATCTTCGCAGATACTTTTACGTCATTGCTGACAATAACAACCTCGCGGTTATCATCGCATTCAGACCCCTCACGCAGTATCGGGTCTGCAGACTGGGTGCACCATCGTCATCTCAACGCAACTGGCGGGGTGCATCACGCTGACGTCATCGCAGCGTGTTTGGCGGACTGCATCCAGGACGCGTTTGGCGCACCACCATCACTTTTTCCCTACCTAGGCTCTGCCTAGAAGGGTTCTTACTCTCTTAGCTGAAAGGGGCCGGGCAGTGCTACACGCCCCGGCCGGTTCCCCTGGTCCCCTGGGAGCGGTTCCCCCCAGTCCCCTGGGAGCTTTAGTTTTAGCTTTAGCTTTAGCTTTAGCTTTAGCTCAGCTTTAGCTTAGCTGTAGCTTAGCTTTAGCTTAGCGTTTCGCTTAGCTTTTCGCTTAGCGTTTAGCTTAGCTTTAGCTTAGCTTTAGCTTAGCTGCAGCTTAGCTGTAGCTTAGCTTTAGCTTAGCTTTAGCTCAGCTTTAGTTTAGCTGTAGCTTAGCTTAAGCTTAGCTTTAGCTTAGCTTTAGCTTTAGCTTAGCTGTGGTTTAGTTTTAGCTTAGCTTCAGCTTAGCTTTAGCTTAGCGTTACTGTTACTACTAATGCTGCTTTCCTAAGGGTTCCAACTCCTAGGTAGGGTCGCACTGGGATAATTGGTCATCCTTCGGCCGACGCATCCACAAGGTGCACGGCCTACTGCCTGCGGCAAGTTCGTGTCGTTTCGACCCGGGCGTTGGTTCCCGACATCGCGGGGATCGCTCAACCTTGAACGATCGGCCGTTCCCGAAACGTCAGGCTCGTTCAGCGTCGCCCGATTCTGGGTCGCCGGCGACGTCCAACGTTGAAAACCCGCGGCGGGGTCGCCGCGGGTCGACGCGACGCGAACCGACCGTATTGGGGTCGGGCACGGAAGTGGGCGGCCCCACGATCTCTGCCCCAAGGGTTGCGGCAGCGGCCACCTGCTGCTGATGATGTTTCGTGCTCGGAGCCAGCGGCCTGCTGCGTCGGTGGGGGGCGCAGCCGAGAAGAGTTCGTTCCCGTCGCAGCGCGGCAGAGTCGGCTACACGCAAGCGTGACCCTAGGTACAGTCATCCCGTATAAGAAGGATGCGCGGTGAGGGTGCAAGGGCCTTGGAGAGCTATGTTAACGCTTTCCGAACGAGGCTGGCCAGCGAAAGTCGCCAAGGATGGGCCGAAAGGGCAAGGATGCAAGGGCAACCTTGAAGCATCGCTCATCCGAACGATGCGGGTTGACAACAAGAATGACCGTTGGTGCGCGGCTTTTGGGGGACCGCGGAGCGACCAAACACAGGCGCGCAACGCGCTGCTGTCGCATCGCGTTCGGCGATCGGGGGATCCCAAGGGGCCCGCACCAAAGGTCACTCCGGCAGAAGGTCACTCTTACGTGCAGCCGACAGAGGCGGTCCGCACGCGCGCCCAGGCAACCCGGGCTGCGATGTTGCGACCTGTCCCGCGCGCGAGAGTGGTGAGGGCGAGAAGCGGCCGCAGAGACAGAAGGGAGGAGGATTGTGCTAGGATTGTGCTAGTTAGGACTCACGCAGATGGAAAGCACCACGCAAGCCGCCTTCGCCGTGTAAGTTATTACTTACAAGGGCTTCCCTGTGGATGGATGGCGGCCCTCCCACAAACGCGTCAGTCGACCCTTGGCCGTCCGAGCTCGGGCGGGCTTGCAGCCCTCCTTCACTAGGTTCGTCCACTTACACTGAGCGTAGGAAGCGCATCGCCTGCAGAAAACAAAATTGGAGCGAAACACTAGGTGGTGTCCTAGCCCCTGTGCCTTGCGAGTGCGGGCTTGTCGGGCTTCGAATTCGACAGATTCAGCGCCCGACGGCTCGCTCTGAGTCTGGTTGGGGACCCTGGGATCTTCCTGGCCCCTGGGGCCCACAGACGGGGAAGGGGGAGGCATCAGAGGAGGAGCAGGATTCGACTCGGCGGCCTGGCTCGGGGCTGGTCCTCTGATGCTACTCGGTTCGACATCGGTGATCGCATCGACGACGTCGGACGACATTGCGCCGAGCCTAACAGCAAATTCTAGGGCATCTGCTACCATGCTATACTTCTGCTGATATGCCTGCCGCTGCCAGAAAGGGCGCGCACACAACTTAGCCCCGTTCTTCGCGTATTCATCCGCGAAGCGGTTGCCTCTGAACAGTCTCTCGCCTATCTCTCGCCGCTGGGCTCGAGTGGCGTGGGCCTTTATTTTTAATATCTGGATGGTCCTGGGGCCCAGCCCTCCAAGATCGTTCACCAGAAACCAAAACTCTCGCCAGAGATCACTGTGAGCCCTGGCAGGTGACGTGCACCACTCCTCCCCTCTGGAAGTTCCGTCTACTACAGCCTGACAGTCACAATATATTTTGAAGGGCGGCATCGCGCACCTCAACACCTGGAGGATGGCGTACAGTTCGGACGGGTAGATCCCTTGCCGATTCTGTGGCAGGGGGAGGGGGCCGAACGCTGAAAAAGCAAGGCTCTCCCCCGAGGCATCGAGGGTGGCGAAGCTCCACCCCGCGCGCCGAAGAGGAATACATTCACCGTACAAGAGAGATCCATCAGTGAAAACCTCTCCTATGATGGCTCCTGGACGTTCGCCTTCATGCAGAACCTCGAACGAGACTGGCAGAACATCCAGGAGCTCAACTGGGTCCTCGGAGATACCTCTGGCCCAGAGTGACTCGAAGCCTGGGGACGGGTTAGCTCCTCTGTGCTGCACGTGCCTGCCACCTACACGCCTGCGCATCGCATCACGCGCGCTGCATACATACGTGCGGCGCAAGTCCGTTCCAACAGCACTCAGGCATGACTGGCACTGGTCGGTCGTCGCACGACCAGCCTTAAACATTCTCTGTTGGGGCCACGTGCCTCCCGCAAACAAGGTTCGGGCCCGCGTGCGGTGCTCAGCAGTCCACTTTTCAGACAGGGGCCTGCGGAGCAACATCCTAATCGGCTCCAGAAAGACGCTCTTAGAGACATTCACCTCGGGACCCCAACGCGCAAGCCAGCCGCCCTGAAGCCCAGAATGTGTGGCCTGGCGCACAAGGGAGTGGAGGTAGTACAAATCGATCTGAGCCAAATCATGCACCTCTGTCCCGCATGTGACTGTTGCTGGACTCTGGGTGTTCCAACCGAGGCGAATTACAGTGGCAATGAAAACGCCTGCTGGTCCTCTCACTAGGCCCCACGGCCTCGGATGCCCGTGGGGTCGCATGACCCACGTGCGCCAGCTCGCCACCAGGAGGTCCCGCGTGGCCATGTCCGTCGCCTCCTGCCACGCCCTGGCCCACTCCACGATGGGCCCCGCGTTGGCGACCACGGCAGGGTCCGCGTCCTCCGCCAGCAGCACCAGCGCGGCCGACCTTCCCTTGTTGCATCCAGGGAAGGCCGCTGCCACAGTCTGCCTGAGCGTGGTGATCAGCGTCTCTGTGGCGCCCTGCACGCGCGTGCCGTAGAGCTCCGACGGCACGATCCCGAGCCTGACCACCTTCTGCGCTGCACCTCCTGCGGCCTTGACCCGCTGGATCTTCCAGCTCCTGGCCTTGGCCTTGATGATCTTCTTGGACGGGGCTCCGACACGCCGTCGCCGCGCAGCTGATTGGGTCACGCCCATGTCCAATGAGGAACAGCGCAGGAGGATGGAGGAAAGGAGGAGGAGGATAAGGAGGAGGAGGAGGAGGCGGAGGAGGAGGAGGAGGAGGAGGAGGAGGAGGAGGCGGAGGGATGAGGAGGAGGAGAGGAGGAGGAGGAGGAGGAGGAGGAGGAGGAGGAGGAGGAGGAGGGAGGAGGAGGAGGAGGAGGAGGAGGAGGAGGAGGAGGAGGAGGAGGCGGAGGAGGAGGAGGAGGGCGCGCTCACGTGGCGATGCCGCGAGGGGGCGCGCGGAGCGTCCAGGCCGCAGGACAGCTCCTGGCAGCGAGCGCGAGGCGGCGGCGCGGGGGCACCCAGGGGAGGAGCTGGCGGCTACAGTGCGGGGCGGCTGGCAGATGCCACACCCGAGCTCCTCGAATCGGAGCGGGACGTGGAGCTGGCGTCCCCCCCCTCCTTCGCTTCGCTTCGCTCGCGGCTCGATGTCTAATAGACGAAGCCGTTCGCCCCCCCTCCTCCTCCCCTCCCTCCTCCTCCTCCTCCTCCTCCTCCTCCTCCTCCTCCTCGAAGTGGAGCTGCCAGGGGGGGGGTTCAGCGCGACGGACTCAAAACAGGAGGACAAGCAGGAACTGGTCGATATGCCACTGGAGCGCAGAGCGCATGCCGACAGGATGCTCCCGGCCTGGGCATATCGAGCGGTGCACGGTGCAGGGCGCGGTCAAGCGATGCATATCGAGCTGGGCACGGTCTCGTGCGAGCGTTGTTGCAGGGTGCAGCGCGTCAGTATCGCCCGGGGCTAAGCCTTATGGCTAAATCCTCCTTCAGCTCCCAAGTGCCAGCGCTGAGCCCCCATGAAGCCTCTCGGAGCGCGACTCTCAGGACGAGTCCATTCAGAACTAGATCAGAAAGCCGAGGCTCCAGGGGCCAGAGCTTGGTCGAGCCGCGGCACGGCCAGGAATCGTCTCGTGATTCGCAAAACTTCAGGCTCGTGTTCCTCTCGAGTGCACTCCTCCTTCTCCTCCTCATGCTCTTCGCCCTCCCATCCCTCCCCCCCCTGGCATCATTCCATACTTCGTCGCTGGGGGGCCGGGGCCTCCTCGTCTTCCTCCCTTTCCCTTAGTTCCTGG